AACAGCAAAGCTCAAGCCCTGCTGGTGGCAATTGTCTCATCCAGAACTTCTTGGAACACTTTATTGGCCTTTGATTTTTGCTTGATTTTTGCAGTAACTTGTGATCTCGAATACGAGAGCCTCCTGTTAAGAGTATCAGCCCAAAGTCATCAAATTAAACCCAGCATGATCCTGTTCTTGAGGAAAAAATACCCCAGTAATTATCTCACTATCTGTGAAAGTATTTCTTGCTATTACCTCACAGTATGGAAGCAATCTGGATATTTGCCTACGCTCTTATTGAAATTCCTGACCTGTGAGTGAGTTTTAATGCTTGCTCAAACTTAGAATAATTGTGAGTGAGTTATTGTAAAGGTTAATAAAACTGTTGATTTTGCATAAAATAAAAATAATTAGAAGTATATGTTTTTAAAACCATCTCTAAAGTTCTTTTATTTTAAATCTCAAGTCTTAAAAATCTGAAAATCTTAGATTCTTCATTAAACTTAGAGGGCTTAAACAAATTTATCCTCTTTAAGCTTAACAATTGCAATTATGTTTGAAAGGAATGAGTTATAAATATAATAATACAGTTATAGAATTCTAGAATATGTTTTTTTAATTTTAAAAATATCATAATAAATGTATTTTACATAGCAAAAACTGAAAAAAAAGAACTTATAGAAATATTTATAAAATAAAATATATTATCAAAATCTTTAAGAACGTTGCTAGTGGTTATAGTTTTTCAATGTGAAATTGTGTTCTCTGTATATTAAAAAACTATACTTTCGACTCTATAAAAGTGTAATTTAAGTGTTGAAATTCTAGAAGAATCAGTTCAAAAATTATAAATGAAATGTATTATGCATTTGTAATGATAATAGGAAAGAGTCTTAATACAAAAAGTTTTCGAGCTATATAACAGAAGCCATTGACACATAAGAGAAAGTCCCTCAATGGCAGCACCACCACTTTGGCCGAGAGATGACATGGCCTTGAAGAGCTTGGGCAGTGCTCCTGGCTCGTGGGCTTCAAAGAGAAACGGGCCCTCTTCCTCATTGCCCAGTTTTGTCGTAGTTCTCGATAAACTCGTTCTTTAGCGTCCATGAATCACAACAAGCAATCTGGAAAACTGTGCGATAGATCTTTGTGCTTACGCCTTTGCAAGCCAGTGCTTGGCTTGCATGGCAAAGAGCATCGAGCATGATCGCGAGAAGCCATGGAGGAATTTTAATTAGTGGTCACGCATAACCACTAGATTAAGGGCTAATTGTACCCAAGGATTGTAAGGTTGGAAGCATATAAACCCTATAAACCAGCGAGGGCTTCAGTTAGGGCGGCGTCCTCAAGTGGAGAAATCCTTGCTTTCCCCGCGGGCGCAATCCAAGTAAGCATTTGGGACGCGTGTGGCAGTGATCCACGCTTCCTCTTCTCCTCTCCTCGCTCCATCGATCGATCGCGCTCTTGGAAGAGGGCGAGGAATGTGAAAGGGCAAAATTTCCATCGCCAACGATGATGATCCATGTCGCCGAGAGCGGCCAGTCCTTCGAGCTGGAGGACTGCCAGGCGGGGACGAGGGTGGAAGAAATCCAGGATGTCTTGGCGTCGCTCACCGGCGTGCTCAGGCAAGACCAGCTCCTCTTCTCCGGCGATGCCCGCTTGGATTCACACAGGTCACTGGGATTCTACCGCCTTTTAGACGATGAGAGGCCGATCTTCCTCTTCAATCGCCAGCGACTAGCGCCGAATTCGCCGCTGCCGCCACAGCAGGGAGCTCCAGAGAATGTCGTGCCAGTTCTTCCGGAGGCTCCAGCGGCCGAGAGGAGTGGAAGCTCCTCTCCTTTGGTTTCTTCCGAGAGGCAATTCCGGTATAACTTCCAGAAGGGTCACGCCATCTTGAGCGCTAGCCAGAAGAAGCTCGATGCATGCCACAAGCTCGCTCGAGAGATTCGTGTCCAGGACATGGCGCTAGAGACGGTCCGGCGAAGCATGGAGCAGCACTACCGCAGCATCCAGCACGTCTATGGCGAGTTTGTGGAGGATTTCCAGCGGCAGAGCCAGCAGCACACGGAGGTTCTGGCAAACTTGGGCAAGGATATCGAGAGGTTGCGTGCTTGCAAGCTCCATCCGGCCCTCAGGACGGAGACACGGTACACTCTCTTGGATTGCGTCAAGGAAGGGAGCTTGCGCAAGTCGGCCGACGACTGTGGCGTGTATCACAAGCAGCTCTGCGCGAAGGTGGCCGGGCTGGCGTCCGAGTACTCGGGCTTGAAGCGGAGGGTGGAAGACTTTCTCGAGGAGCCATCCGCGGTGAGCTTGGAGAATCTGGAGCGGACTCTTGGATTGCACGCAAGGTTTATCGATGAACAGTCGACGATCCTTCAGTCGTTGAGGTAAGAAAAAGAGTTTTTTAATGAAGTTTCTAGTGGAAGTTGAAATCATCTTCCTTCTTTCTTTCCAGGAAGGATGTGACCAAGGTGAAGAGGTTGAGCGATGACTACTCCGACGGAAGGTATTCATCCATGCAAGTTCAGGACGCACTGTTGGCTCTCGGCCCGATGCATGATGTGCAGGTCAAGAGTCACTTGCCGAGAATGGAGGACTGCGATGCCGAGCTCGCAAAGCTTCTCCAGCAGCTGGTCGTGGGGAAGAATGCGATGACGCTGTGCGTCCACCAGAGGATGCAGAGCGTGGCGTCGCTCCAGGCCAGTATAAAGTTGACGAGGAACCAGATATCCGGGTTCCGGGAAGTCATGGCTCGTCAGGACGAGAACTTTGCGATGCTCAAGCAGTTCCGCAGGGTCGGGAGTTCTTACAAGGCTTGCCTCGCCGAGGTCGTGAGGAGGAAGTCTTACATGAAGCTCTACCTCGGGCAGGCCGGGCAACTCGCAGAGAGGATGGCCGCCAAGAGGGAGAAAGAGGTGGTCCGCAGGGAAGAGTTTCTACAAACGCACACTGCTGCTTTGCCTCGAGAGCTTTTATCGGAAATGGGACTGCTTGAGGTTCCGAGCCAGTTCCTCATCAACCTCGCATCTTTCGACTCCAACTTACTGGACATCGACTTGGCGGATGTGGAGAAGTATGCTCCTTATCAGGTAACAGGGTCACTCAAGGCTGATTCTCCGGCGGACGACTGGTGTGATCCAGAAGGAAAGGAAGACTTTTGCAGTGACGAGATATCTGGCACGAGTAAGTTGGAGGTCGAGAATGCCAGGCTGAGAGCTCAGTTAGCAGCGTCCATCGCATTTATCTGCAGCGTCGACCCCGGCTTTCAGCCAGACATCCTGGGGGATGCCGAGGACCAAGAGATACGTGGGAACTTGAGCTCGGCCGAGAGAACTGCCGAGGCTCTGAGGCTGAAAGACGAGCATGCCAAACACTTGCACAGAATCATAAACGAGAAGGAGGGCCGGTGTAGTTCATACGAGTCCCGGATCCGAGAGCTGGAAGACAGGCTGAGGGAGCAAGAGGAACGTGAGAGAACCGACTTGGATACGATGTTGTCGAGTGAAGATCAACGTAGGGAAGAGTCGGATAACTCGGCTATCACTGGAGCAGCGGTGGAGCCGATGGATGGTGCCACGGGACAGGAAGACAGTAGCGCACAGTCCGAGGAGGCGAAGAACCAGCATCCAGTCAAGGACATGTTCTCACAGACGATGGAGTGGCCGGCGGACGAGCCCGTGCTTTCAGAGGTGGCGAGGCTTCGAGAAGAGCTTGAGACGAGCGCGGAGCTACTCAGGCAGTGTCAGATGAACTCTGCGCATCTGGAGAACCGGCTTCACGAGGCACGGGAGGAAGCGCAAATCCACCTCTGCGCGGCCGACCGCCGAGCGTCCGAGTACAACGTTCTTCGCGCCTCCAGCGTCAAGCTTCGCGGCTTGCTGGAGAGGCTGAGGAGCTGCATTGCCTCTCCGGCCGGTGGCTCTGCCGGTTTCATGGACTCTCTACGCTCCTTGTCCGCTTCACTGCCGAGGTAAGTCGTTCGTCCGCGCTTTGGAAAGTTTGCTAAGTTAGTTCTTTGGAACGCTTGCTAAGTTCGTTCTTTGGCAGTGATGGTGGAGACGATGTGGGAGCGGAGTTTCGATCGTTTATCAGCATCCTAGCGGACAGGGTGACGTTTCTGGCTCAGCAGCGCGCCGAGCTCGCCGAGCGCGTCAAGCTTGCGGAGAGCTCGCAGAGCCAGCTGAGGAAGGAGGTGGAGAACAAAGCCGAGATGGCCAAGAGCCTCTTCGCAAAGTGTAAACTTGAGAAACAGGTACTTACTCTAGACGACTTAGAGAGAATGGCTGGAGATTTTTTCTAAAGAAAAACCCGTTTTTTTTTTTTTTTGGTTCTTGACACCTTGGGAGACTCTGTGGAAACTTTGCAGGCTAGCAAGGAGAAGATCTGCCTGACACGATTCGAGGTCCACGAGCTGGCACTCTTCGCTCCAAACGCGGCTGGTCACTACGAAGCGCTCAACCGGAACTGCCCAAACTATTTTCTGTCGGAGGAATCCATCGCGCTGTTCCACGGCAAGAACGAGCAGCGGCGGAAGTATATAGTCGGCCAGATCGTCCACATCGAGCACCACACCGTCGCAGCGCCGCCCTGTGCTAGCTCCTCCAGCTTCTCAATCTTGGAGGGAGGAGCTTCTTCTTCCTCGTCGGTGATGGGGAGGCATCGAGCAAACTCGTATGGGCTACCCGTGGGAACCGAGTATTGGGTCGTGACGGTGGCGATGGTGCCGGGCCTTGATCTGTAAATAGCGTTACTCATAGCAAACATTTATTGTGATCTAACACGATTGGAATGGATCATTCTTCGGATTAGAACTATCATTCTTCACAGATGTGGCACGAGAAATTTGACAAAGCTGATGGAAAGGATCATCAGCGCTGCTGGTATCCCGTGGAAGACATCGATCTTGGCGACTTTCAGCGCTCAAAATGCGCCATGGACACGAGGCGCCTGAGTGACTCTAGTCTATCGCCGCAAAACCACGAGGAACCCTAGAATCAATGGCCCAGATCATATCCAAATATCAAAGAATATACCAAAGCCAAAGATTATTCGCAAGCATATCCGAAGCACCTAAACCCTAAACTAAGTGTTTAAATTCTTGGAACAAAGATTATTCGCAAGAATATGCGAAGGGCCCTTAACCAAGTTTATCTCAAAGAGGGTGGTGGCTTCTTCTTGGATGAGCTTCCACGCAGCATCTACGTGCTTGTCTTGCGTGAGTGGAGCGCCGATGGCCATCCTCAGCGTGTAGACGCCCGAGAGCACCTATTCAGGCAAGTATAACTTTGAGAAGAGAGCTCGGATTCGCGATAGTTTTGCTGGCTTACCGTGTGAGTGATAAACATTCTTCCGCTGGAATTGAGAGCCTCCAGAAGCGTCGAGTTTAGAGTGCGTCCGTTGTCCGGATCATCGCTTTCTGGCTTTAGCCTGAAGCAAATCAAGCCGAATGTGCGAGGAACTAGAAGCTGCAAAATGGTGCCAACGTGTTTGAAGAATAGAACGTGTGCCTTACTTGGAAGCGTGGGTCTTCACGCACGAAGCCTTCGAAGCGCTTTGCAAGGCAGACATGGTTCCTTATGTAGCTCCGTAATCCAGAAGCGCCATTCATGCGCATGACAAACCACAGCTTCAACGACCTGTTTTACAATGTTTCCTAAGGATTTGAGTTTAAAGGAAAAAACGGAAGACTAGAACCTGAATCTTCTGCCGAGAGGTATCTGCCAGTCTTTGTAGTCGACAACTTGATTTAAATCAGATGCCTGGAACAACAAAGAAAGTAAAAGAAAACTTAAACACGAAAGTGAGAAAGATATGCGCTACCTTGTTACGCAAGAACTCAGGTGTTGTAGAAAGAGCTGACACCAGATGGCTGGATTCCTATCGAGAAAAGCAAAAGGTATAAGAACTCTTGGAAAATGAATGAACACCACTTTACCTTCACCCAAAGAGCAGAACAATCGAAGTTTGTAAGCAGCCACTTATGTGCGTTCATGTTAAACGAATCTGCTTTCTCAACTCCATCCAGGTGATGCCGAAACTCTGGGCAGATGCACGCAGAGCCAGCGTAGGCAGCGTCAACGTGGAACCACATTCCAAAATCCTGGTAACATTCTTGCATTTTGAGATCGATAGAGATTGAAAAGAAAAGAGCTATACCTTTGCAATATCTCCTAAAGCAGACAATGGATCCACGGCCGAAGATGATGTAGTTCCCACCTAGGAAAGAACATAACAGGCGTAAGGAGGGAGACAAGCTAGTTGCACGAACTCACAGTCCCGCAAAGGAAGAATGGCAAAAGTCCCTGCTTGACGCCATCCTCAAGTGCTTGTCTCATCGCAGCTGGTGATACTGCATAGTTTGTTGAGATATCAGTTGGAACAGTCACTAGATTTTCAAGAGGAATCCCAGCAATCTGTACAACAAACACGAAGAGGTTATCACGGATTGAAAGGACTAGAAGCTTGAAATGGCGTACCACACATCCTTTTTGCAGACAGGAATGAGTTTGATCTGACGTATACACCGCCAGCTTTGAAAGAATCTCCGCTTCCGACAACCCTTTTCTCTTGTTTTCTGAAATGGCTCGAGTTCGAGCAGCGAGTAGCACCACAGCAACTGCCTCACTAGCAGTCCCTTGAATCACTCCGCCGCCATTACCTGCATTGTAAAGTGTAAGAATAATGATCTTATAATCTAAAATTTCCACCATACCTCCAAATAGAAACTCGTCGGGAAGTTTCAACAGCTTTGCAAGCCAGTCAAGAACAATGGTCTCCAGCTCTGTCGCCGCCGGCGAAGTTATCCAGCTAAATCCAACAATGTTCAATCCAGCACTTAACATTTCCCCCAAGAGCCCTGCCGTGCTACTGTTGGACGGATAATATCCGAAAAAATTCGGACTTTGCCAGTGTGTGACTCCCGGAATTATCTTGCTCTGAATATCTGAAAGGAAGGAAACTCGGCATTTTATCGCGCTTGGAAACAGAACATACCGGCAAAAACCTCCTCCAGCGTTTCGGGATCTTCAGGCGCAGCCGCAGGCAACAAAGTTTTCAAGTATCCAGGCTGCTCAATAAATCAAGTGTCAGGCAAATTAGAAATTGGAGGAAGAAGGAAAAACGTACAGAGACTTGACTGCGAACGGGAAAGCTCTCAATATCACGGTAATAATCTGCAATGAAGTCCACCATCTCGTGAGCATGCTTGCGAAATTCTTCCGCGTCTATTGGCTTGAGCCCAATGTTCGCTTCCCCCATTTCTAGAGACACGAAGACGGCAAACTGTCACACGAGGTGAGAAGCAAAACGAGACCTGCTAATGCAAGCCGAAAAGAGCTACAGTAGACACAGCGAACAGTGAGAAGACAGGCTCGAAAGCCAAGGCCCTAAAATATCACAACGTTAAATCCAAAACACACATTGATGAACAACCATGAATGAAAGGTTACATTGCTTTCATTTAAAAGCTACCAGGTAAAGTTTGGTCTTGCCGACATTTCTTGCAGCTTCTTGTGATGGCTTGCTTCCAGCTGACACTGCATTTTGCACGGCCAGGAATTTCAAACCTATTGCGGAAAAAAAAAATAAAAAAAACTTACTCTGCATTCCTTGAGAAGAGGCTCGAGAAAGGACGACTTGAAGAAGCGAATTGACTTGGCAAGGGACGTGCGTTCCCAATCTGTACAGGAAAATGTGAGAACGTAACAAGAAAGAGCCGGTACCTTTGGATACTGGACGCGCATCGCCGTTGTTTAGATCATTGAACAGCTGGAAACAGAAGAAAAACTAGAATTAACATGTTTTAATCTGAAGACCAGTACCTCTGGCAATGTCGGGACAGTCGTTGGATCAAAATTGTCGCAGTCTTCAGGATCGATAGGCACGCAGACGCGTCCTACACCACAACTGACAAGTGATAAAACAGTTTAAGATGGTAAGCCATGCATTACCAGTCTTTGGATGGATGCAGAAAGGCGCCTTTAGCAGATGATTCATTTTCTTAGTTACCTGTTATACAACAGTGAGCAAAACAAGAGGGGACAAAAATTAAAGTTGTTCCCTCACCTCCAGGTCCAGTCTTGGGTACGTATAAGTAAATACAAGCTCTACTTGAATACCTCGCTTCTGCATGAGCTTCCTCTGTAAATCTGCCCAGCGCTGTCTATTTATCTCGTCAGGGAGCAATCTATTATTACGCTTTTTCTCCTCCAATTGAACTGGAAGCTCGGAATAAGCGCTAGACATATATTGCATTGACATACCTTGACCAGAGACCAGCTTCAGAACCTTGTCAGCATTCTCTTGAGGATGCAGCAAACTCTGCTTTATCAGGATTTCTTCGTCAAAATAGCGACTCAAAAACTGTGAATAAGTTCTCCTGTCATGTTCATTGTCGAATCAATAATTAACAAAAAAGAACGAGACACATACGCTAGAAATGGATGAAGATGTGTAGGCAAGGACACCTTCCTGTTGTTATTCTCGTTACCCTTTTCACAAAGTCAGATCCTCACGAGTAAAGAATTAATCTCAAACCTTATAAACTCGAAAGTAGTCAGCAATGGACGCTCTTTGCTCATTAGTCAGCTTACGAGCTCGTGCGTCACACACCCAGCAGTGTACTCCTCGTCGTCCACTATATACCCATAGGATGTGATCAAACCCGAAGTCCTCTAGGCGCCAGAAACCAATGAGCATTCAACCAAAATCAGACGAACGCTACCTCGCAAAGTCGAATCAACAACTTTGATAGCTATTGTCATGAGCGGCCAGCACTTCAAACAAATGTCGGCTCCAGAACAACAGTTTCGAATGTCGTCGTAGTCTGTCATGTCCTGCAAGCGTGGTGAGTTTCTGATCCTTATATATAGAAGTTCTGGCACTCACAACATCAAATACCAATTCCTTCTCGACGGGAGCAAAAACTCTATCATTGGAAACGCTGGCATACGCTAAGCGCTTGGCAGGCTGCGAGGAAAAAAGTGTTAGGAAAGAAAGAAAAAAAACACAACCAGGAACTTACATCCACACTGTAAACCGCTCCAATATCAATTTTTTGAGGACGCTTTTCACACACAGTAGCTTCAAATTCCGACGCATCGCGGAAAGACATGTACCGCAAATAAATGTCGTTCTCCAGAGTGAAAGAGAACTCTCTCCGCCCAAAAAACGAAGAATCGCAAGAAGGATGCTTTCCATCTACGAAAGAACGACCGAAGTTAGATCTAGACTGGTATCGTCTAGAAACATACCATTGCCATACGACAGCCACTTGTACATCTCAGCGAAAGGGAAAATCCGCCCTGGAGAATGGCGATCCAGCTTAGGCGCTAGCACACTAGAACGATCAATCTTACTGTAATAGAGGCTCAAAAGCTCGGGATTGCAAAGCGCCTGCCCTTGCTGTTGCTTGAATCCGTCGATTTCCATCGGATCACCTGCATTGGTCGTCGTCAATAGCGGCGCGCAGAGAAAACGACTCACCCGCCATAGCCGTTCGCTAAAGCCCTAGAAGAAAGAGGAAAGAAAATGGCGGGAAAATGAAGAGCCCTAGAAACTTAACGTTAATTTGGCTATGGCGGCAATAGCCCTCAACGCTTCTCTCAGCGTTTCTTCTTCTAGATTTTCGATCCAGGGGGGAAGATGTCGTATTGCTTACAGAAATCGCGTGAGGTGCGCAGCTGGATCGTCGTCTCAAGAAAGCGAAGCAAGCGCGAGCAGCAGCGTTGTTGGATTGCCGGAGGCGAGCATTGGAATTGCCCTGGCAGGCGGTGGAGAGGAGCAGCAAGAGGTCGCTCCTGGAGAAATCGGCCCGGGAATGGAAGAGATTTACAGCCAGTGCAAGGTCTGGGAGTGGAAGGGGTTGTACAAGATCAATTACGTTGCTCTCGTTTCGAGTGGAGGCCCCGCGATTCTCCTCGTCCATGGATTTGGGGCTTCTATCGGGCATTTCAGGAGGTAATTGGTTCTCTGGATGATATTCTAGCTTGTGAAATCCGTGAATTTGGTCGCAGAAACATCCCTGTTCTTGCGAAGAACTATTCGGTCTACGCAATCGATCTTCTGGGACTAGGCGCGTCTGAAAAACCGGCAAACTTTTCTTACACAATGGAAACATGGGGAGAGGTTCGTGTTCTTGCTGGTTTTTTTTCTTCTTTTTTGGATATCGTGCTAAGAACTTGCTACAGTGCGGCGTTCCGTAGAGCAGCTTTTGCTGGATTTCATCAAAGATGTTATGGAGTCGGCTCCGACTGTTCTTGTTGGAAATTCTATCGGCAGTCTCGCATGTCTTACTGCTACTGCGAGTAAGTTGATCGTTCTCTCTCTCTCTCTCTCTCTCTCTCGCATGTCTTACTGCTACTGCGAGTAAGTTGATCGTCCTCTCTCTCTCTCTCTCTCGCATGTCTTACTGCTCCTGCGAGTAAGTTGATCGTTCTCTCTCTCTCTCTCTCTCTCTCTAACTTGCATGGATCTTCTCTTCTTTTTCTCTCTAGATGCCACGGAAGGATTGATTCGAGGAGCTGTGCTTTTAAACTGTGCCGGAGGAATGAACAACAAAGCAGTGGTGGATGACTGGCGCTTGAAGCTAGCATCACCCTTGCTTTCGCTCATAGACTGGCTACTCAAGCAACCAGGAATCTCCTCTCGTCTCTTCAACCGAGTGAAGTCGAGGTAAGCTTCACCATGGCTGCGCAAACTTTCTAAAGCTTTGCAAATCCACAGGGAAAATCTTAAGACTCTTCTATCGTCAGTTTACGTCAACAAGGAAGCTGTGGACCAAGAACTCATCGAGGTACTCGATTCCTTCTCGAGTTTCTCTCAAACTTTCGCCTCCACAGATTATCAGAAGGCCTGCGGAGGATCCAGGAGCTCTGGAAGCATTCGTTTCGATCATAACTGGTCCTCCAGGCCCGACTCCCATGGCTCTCATCGACAAGATCCACTGCCCGATCTTGGTGCTATGGGGCGACACCGATCCCTTCACTCCGGTGGATGGACCAGTGGGCAAGTACTTTACCAGCCTTCCATCCTCACGTCCAAACGTAAAGCTTCGAGTGCTACAAAACGTTGGACACTGTCCTCACGACGACGAGCCAGAGCTTGTGCACGAGCAGCTCTTGCCGTGGCTGGCCAGCTTAAGTTCTTGACCAGATCCAAGCTCGCTAGATTTTGATCACAAAGAGAATGACGAGCAAGCTCGAGCTTTGGTTTCTTATCCAGAGTGACGAAGTTCCAGCACAAGTTACATTCATGGTGGCTAGCAGCGTTTCTCGATCTAGATCTTGCCTCTCGGGCCAGGCGTCGGCGGCCCAACAGCTCCTCTCTTGACAGGGACGAGACTCGCTGGTGCATTAGCACCCGTGAAAGCCACAGCACCGGTACCAGCGAGCAGTAGAAACTTGAGCAACAGGCCTCTCTTGGTGAAAGCGCCAGCGAAGATTTGGAAGAATTGGCTCTACGAAACGAGAAAGCAAAAAAGTTTCATCGCCGTGGATCAAGAAGAAAGAGAAGACACACCTGGAGTCCATTGTAAGGGGAAGGCATATCCGATCCATACAAGTCCCAAGCTCCGGTGGTGTTGTTGATATCTCCCAAGTCGAAGTAGACGCTCTTCTCTCCATACTTCGCCGAGACACCGAGCCTGGAAGTTTTCGAAGGAACAGTTCCACTGTAAGTTTTCCTCTTTGAAGTAACTTACTTGGCTGTGGATCTTCTCATTGAAACTTGCGCTGTAGGCTTGATTCTTAGCTTCGTCCCATTCAAGCTGCTGCTGGCAAGTCCAGATGGTACCAATGCTGCTGCTGTTGCTGCTGCCATCGCCACTTCTCTCACAGGGAGGAGCTTGCTAGCCAAGTTGCTCCAAAGAAAAAATGGTGGCTGTGTTCTCGACACGTCGGACTCCACGGAGGACCACACCACTTGGTTGCAAACCTTGCCGAGGTGTAAAGACGCAATAGGAGGAAACTGGATGTGCCGATAAGAGGCACTCTACAAGGATCGATCCCTGTATCTATTCGAAGTAGAGGACGTTAAAACCACCCAGAACTGCAAAGATTATTTAACCTGTGATCGTCTTAAAAAACTCTACCAAGCCGCACGTCGATCACGGAATGGAGCTTTGATCCGTTGTCTCTCGCTGCGGCTTTTAGTACATCAGAGAGAGAACGCTGGTTTCTCCACGCTGCAGTAGCCCAGGATTTTAGTCTTTCAGCTTCGCTTGCTCGCTGCTCCACGCTAGACAGGATATCGGCATATCTAGCTGCGATTGTCCAGAACTAGAATTACAGAACGAAGTGTGGAACGTCTGAATACCTCTTGTGATTGCAATGGCGTCCAGATATTGAAGTTTGTCCTTTGCTTCTGTTAGAAACATGAGCTTGCGACAGTTAGAAACATGAGCTTCGCTACAGCTTCTACCTTTTTCCAGCGGGGGAGCTTTCAACAAGTTCAAAGATCTGCGATAAAGGCCCTGCATTGAAATTTTGTAGAAGATGAAAAGGCTACAACAAGAAAAAATTACAAACCTCTGCTATCATGAACCCGCTATTCTCGGCCTTCGCTCGTCTACTGTAGAGATCTGCCATGCAAGATAACACAAGTCCAACTCGTGCGTGCGTCTCACCTGCAGTATCATATTAGCTACCAGCTTTAGAAACAGGCTGTTGTCCAAGTTACCACTAATGCTTTCAGCGACTTGAAGACCTTCTGTCAAAAATTTCTCTGCTTCATCAAAGCATCTGTAATAAAAGATAATCACGAGCGCCTAGAGATGAAAATTTGCTTACCCAAGGTCAGCTGAAAGCTGTCCTAAACCTGCTAGAGCTGCTGAATGAACTTCGGTAGAGGTCATTGTGGCTCCTTTGCTTTTGTCGGTTTCGTTTTTTGCAAGGGCAGCAGCGCTTTCGTAAAAGTTTTTAGCTTCCTTGTCATCGCCTCTTACGTGGGCAACTTCAGCTCGAGAAAGGATGGCAGCTCCTAGAATTCAACGTAAACTACGAGCGTAAAGAGAAATGATCAAAACCAACCTTGCTTTGTATCAGGTGGAAATGCCTCAAAACACGAAGCCGCTGCTATACGCGTGTTGGAGTAAAGAAACAATCATCATCAAAACAATAAAAGGAAAATACTCATACCAGCATCAAACTGTCCTCCAGATAGTTTGACGAGTCCGGCTAATGCTTGCGATCGAGGTCCAATATCAGATTCCGGAGTAGCAAGCTCTGATATAGTTTGCAATTGAGCGGACGCCAATTCATCCTAGAAGACAAGCACGACGAAAACACCATAACCAGAGATGCTTATCCAAAAGAGACATGAAAACGAACCTCGTGTATTTGCAAGTAGAGTCCTACCAAAGCTTCCAGAGCAGAAACTAGCCACCATAAAACAATCAGCGAAAAACATTCCACCGACGAAAAAAGCGAGAGTAAACTGACCCCGCACCTCCAATCCAGCCGACTCATTGCTCGAAACACCATGTAATACCTCAGTAGCGTCCGAGACTTTCCCTCTACAAGAAAAAAAAAACACAAGAAAAATTTAATCTTAGACCAAAGACTCCGAGTGATCTTACTGATCAGCGTGGAAGTCCGCTATCGCGAACTGGATCTTACACAGCGCATTGGCAGCCGAGGGCCCGGAATTCTTCACAAAGCTCACGCCATGCTCTAGAACCTGCATTGCATCCAAATACCCGGCGCCTGCTACAAGGATCACTAGCTAGATCGCAAAAGCGCGAAATGTTTTACCTCCTTTCTTCCTCGCCGCCGCCGCGTAGTCGAGAATCTGCGCCGCCATGCCCTCGGCCGCGGCATCATCGCCATGAGCCAGAGACGCGAGGAATCGATGAGGCCGGAGAGACCTCGCGATCGATCGCGATCGCCCTGGGACAAGGCGCAGCAAGAGCGCCATTATTGAGAATTTAGGGCTGACTCACTCTCAAGGGATTAGGGCTTTATAGAGGTGACGAGAGAAGACTTCCCTCAGGACTTTGCGCTGGCCAAGGAAGTGGATTACCATCTCATCGATCAAAGAGTGGACTTAGGGCGGATGATTGGACGTAGAGCCCTTGTTGCTGCTTCACCAGACGAGGTCAAAGGAGCCAGGAAACTTCGGACATCTGCCTGCGTGGGAAAAGCACGAGTACGATGCTCTTGGAGGCTTTTCCACTTGAAGCTGTGTCCTGGATCTTTCAGCGAGTACTGCTACGCGTTCTGCTCGACCAAGGTGGCGGGTCTATATGTGCAGCGGGTTAGTCTAATTGTATTGCAGAGGTCTTGCTAAGTTCGTGTGCTACAGGTAGGGATGCTGTCAACTACTTGTGGAGGCCTTTGAAGGCTCTCAAAGCCTGGAGGGAAGTATTTGACAGCGACCATGCCAATGAAGACAGTGTGGTGTTGTTCCTTTTGCCACCGGATGTCTTTCCCGACTTCCAGTCCCAGCCGTATAGAGCAGCATCTCGAAAAGTCTCTCAGCGATCTGTGGAGGTTTGTGCTGGAGCTCCGAGTTCTGATTTAAGGTGGCGGTGCCCGTGGATGGTTCTCCGTATGCGGGACTCGATCTGCCGACCGAGATGCCTGCTGTATCTCTCGATCTGAACCCGAGCATGGAGACATTGGAGGGGCAGCTCATGTGTGCGGAATGCATCGAGTTTCGTTGGAAGGAGATTGGAGAAGTATCGCTCGAGGAAGAGAAGAACACTTACCAGAAGCGAGGTGTGGTCGAAGATGGAGGTTATTTGGATGGGCTAGATTTCAGTAAGCTCCATTATCGGCAATTACAGGCTTTGTGCAAGAAGCATGGTGTTCCTGCGAATACCTGCAACGCTGAGATGATTGACAGGCTGACCTCTTTAAATACTTTCACTCAATCATGCATAGGAAGCTCTATAATGTAATGCTTTTTAAAAATATCCAAAGCATCATACGAGCGCCATTATTGAGAGTTTAGGGCTGACTCACTTTCGAGGATTAGGGCTTTAGAAGCTTGAGGAAGACGATGGCGGATAATGGCGACGATCCATACGCCGATGAGGAGGAGGAGGAGGAGGACGAGTACGCGGTGGTATGCGCCAGGGATTTCTAGCGTGTTTGATCTCTTTCTTGATCGCATCGCCATGGCAGGAGGGGGCGACCAGGGATTACGTCGTGTTTCTGATCGACGCTGGGAAAGATATGCTTCTCCAGCTCCAGACAAAGCGGGTATGCTAAGGTCGAGCTCCATTTTGGTCTTTGATAGAAGATTTCTTTGCAGGGAGAGACTAAAACTTACTTGGAAGCTGTGATGGAATCTATCACTGAAGATTTGAAGACGAGGATCATTTCTAGAGACACCGATGAAGTGGGAATTTGCTTCATCAACACGGTAAGCCTTGGTTCTCCTGGTGGAATGCAAGGAATTTTTTTTAATGAATTTTGCAGCGCGAAAAAAATAACTCGCTCTCCTCAGAGGGTGTTTATACGTTTAAGGAGCTCAGCAAGCTCTCGGCTTCTTTTATCAAAGATACTTCTTCCTTGTGCGGTACTGTGCTTTTTGTCTAGCTACTTTCAGCCATCTAATGTCTTCTCCATTTCAGAAAACTTTGATAGTGTTATAGGGAGCAACGATGGTTCTAACTACGGGGCCAGAGAAAATCCGCTTTACAGTGGCCTTTGGGTCGCACAAGGCATGCTCGGAAAGAGGTACGCTGGAAAGCTTCCCTTCGATTGTTCCTTCAATGGTTTCTTTCAGTGCTACAAAGAATCTAGGCAAGCGAATTCTGCTGTTTACGAACAACGATGATCCTTTCGAAAATGCGGATCCCGTTACAAAGGCTGACATGAGGAGAACAACTATACAACGGGCAAAGGTACTTTGCTGTGATTATTTTATTTGATCAGTAACGTTATTGTAACCCCAGGACTCGCAAGATCTTGGAATTTCGATTGAACTCTACCCGATGAGCAGGCCTGGAGAAGAATTTAATCTCAACATCTTTTATAAGGTTCGCTCGGGTTTTGCATAACCAGATCCTGGAACAATTTTTTTGCAGGATATGATTACCATGGAAGATGACGAACTGTCGAATTTTATGGTTGGTGCAGAAAAAAGGTATGTTTTGGTACGAAGCTTTAAAGGCTACCTAAAGCTCGTGTTGTTGTAGATTTGAAGAACTCAAGGCTAGGATGAGAAAGAAGCTTTTTCAAAAGCGTGTTGTAAGGAAAATAACGTTCACCATTGCTAATGGGACTAGTATCGGTCTCGGGACATATGCGATGGTTCGGCCGGCTACGACAGGTTGAAGACTTTGGCTGATTGTAAAACTCATTCTCAGCTTTTCTATGTAGGCAAGTACGAGTGGCTTGATTCCACGACAAACAAGCCTGTGAAGGTAACTCTTTCAACGTATTTACCTGAATTTTAACAGCCATTGCAGTCTGAACGAGCTCTCATATGCACGGATACGGGCGCTATAGTGACGGAATCTACGAAACGTTTTACACACTATAACAGGTATATGCCTTTGGCTGTCAGTTTCATCATCCATGCGTTTGATGCAGTAAGCGAGTTCTCATGACACGCGAAGAGCTTGCAGAAGTAAAAAAGATAACGGACGTACAAGTCCGACTTCTAGGCTTCAAATCAATTGCTTGCCTTAAAGACTATCACAACTTGAGGCCAGCCACGTTCCTGTATCCTAGTGAAGAGGTAAGTGGCTTGACTGGAAAACTAGAGATTTTCTCTAAACGCTACGTGCAGGCCATCAAAGGCAGCACCTGTCTTTTCATTGCGCTACATAGGTCTTTGATCCGGCAGAAAAAGTGAGTCTCTTATTCTACCAGTTCTTATCTGAAACGTGGCTGTGTAGGTTTGCTTTGGCGTTTCATGGAAATTCGACGTCTCCTCACCTGGTTGCTTTGGTTCCCCAGGTACTTAAAGGCAACGAATGCGAGCTGTTCGTTCTGATCGAGTTTCTGTTTTAGGAAGAGATTGTGAACGAGTATGGGCAAGTCCAGCCACCTGGAATGCATATGATCTACCTTCCATATGCAGAGGACATTCGACAGCCTGAAAAGGTAGTTGGCGCCAGTCTTCCATGTTTTCTCTCTGATACCAGTTGCTTTCACAGATAAATCTGAGCAAAGGTGGAGTTGAAATAGCGGCAAAAGAGCATATCGACAAAGCAATGGCTCTCATCAAGAAGCTCCACTTGCGAGAATTTACAGTATACGATATACAAAACCCAGGTTAGTGCTATCCAAAGCATCTTAACGTTGCCGGAACTTTTCTTCATGTCTTTTCTCAGCCCTTCAAAGACACTATTCAAATCTGCAAGCTCTTGGACTCCAGGAAGACACCGTGGAAGATGTCGAGGATTGTACATTGCCAGACGAGGAAGGCATGAAAAGGTGCGTGGTACTTTGATTTTCATTTTCCAACATGGCTGAAACTATGCTTTTCAGGCCGTCGATAGTTGCCGTAGTTCAAGCATTCAAAGACACTGTCTACGGGGCTGATCATGACCAAGAAGAGGCAGCTGCGGAGGCCGAACGGGCGAAAGGAAGCGTCACAGCTCAAAAGAGAAAGGCTGCTGCTGAAGTAGCGACCAAAGAATCAGAAAAATACAATTGGCGTCAGCTTGCTTTGGACGGCGAGGTAAGCTCTTCGTTCTTTCCAAACGGAAAAAATACCTTTTCCTTCGTTGCAGCTTAAGAAACTCACCGTGGTGGAGCTCAAGTATTATCTCGCGGGAAAGAAGCTCCCGCTCAGCGGCAAGAAAGAGATCCTCATTGAACGCATTCTAAACGACTTGGGAATGTAATCTATCTACACGGGGGGGTAAGCAAGCCAAAAGAAATCTCGGATCTTCTGCTAACCTTTGTTTCTTTCCTTTTCAAGGAATCAAAAAACTTGTGTATCATCACCATCTTCAGAAAACGTGGTCCGCGATCACGTAGACGTTGTCCGAGGTTAGTCTCACGTCCGAGAGAATGTAGACTCCACAATCGTGGGAATCAATCGCGACTTCGAAGCCATCCTGCTGTCGCTCGCTCCAATCTTCATGCTGAGGTATCAAGAAACAACGTTAAAGAGGCATCATTCAAAGTCGTATCAGCACCTTCCACAAATCTCGAACACAAACAGACACTCCCGGCTCCAGTCCAAGATCAAACCAATTCACTTTGATGGCAACTCTTCGCCAATCTCGGTTCCAGAGCGCTAAAACTATTCTCTTGCCGGAGAGCGGCCCTGCCCAGACCTGTTGTTTCAAGGATCAACGCAAGAACAAAGATTTTCGCAGTGACGTCGTACCTCACGACATTTACAACGCCCCTGCCTGCTAACTTTTCTAGCTTGAATCCCCAGTGGATCTATCACAGGAGAAATATAACGTGATTAAGTTTCCATGCAAAAGCACCTGTGCAAACCTTGGTTGATGTCGATGATCTCTTTGTTTTTGTAGATTTCCAGGTGTTCCTCTCGGATTTTCCTGAGCTCACACCCGATGATCAGTGGCGCCTGTGACAAAATTTTAGCAACTTGGTGAAGTGAAGTGAATGAAACAAGTGAGAGCTCTTACTTTCATGATAGACCAGATGCTGAAATGCGACCGATACTCCGCCACACTCATGCGTCCGTTGCCAACCTGAAGCATATCAGGATCTGGAGACCAGCTCTAAAAGTTTCAATACAAAAAACACACTCTTCAAGAACAAGCCAGCAGAAAAATCTCTCTTTTTTTTTCTCGTCTTTCTTTCTTCGTCTAGGAATGTAAAGAGACTGGGCAGCTTACCGTTCCATCCTCCAGGACCAGCATACGCTGCCCACATATTGTTGTCGTCGGCCAAAATCTGGATTCTGGAAGGAGAGAAAACATTGAACCACACACGGGGAAAAAAAAAAGGAGAACAAACTTATACCGGTCCCATCTGTCCTTGACATCTAAAGAAGTGCGCCACGAGTTTGCATACTTGCCTGCCCAGAGTGCGGGATGATCTTCACCCCTACGCACAAGAAAAAAGAAAAAAAAAGCATTGTAAACAAGATGAAGAAGAAGATGCACTCACCATTCGCAGATGGTATAGAATATCGGTCTTCCACTTTTGTTAAGAGCTTCGCTCATCACCGGGTAACTACAAGCAAGGAAAACCAGAAATAAAAAGCTTGAGCTCACGTTCAAAGCGTACCGAAGGTGCGGGTAGTAATGTTTTTTGTGGAAGCAATTGTCATACTTGAGATAGTCCACGCCCTGGTTGAAAAATGAAACAAATGTGAGGTGGAGGAATCTGTCGCAGCTTTGAAAAACGTTTTATTTACCCATGAAGCGAATGTTTTGGCGTCCCGGATTTCGTGGTCCTCGGAGCCAGCTCGGTGTCCTATACAAGTTCTCCTTCTGCATCGACAATGAGATTCAATCTTAGGAGAAAAGCAAAACAACTTCGACCAACCCTGCGTCCGAGTAAAGCCCGAACTTCAATCCTTTGCTATGCGCATAGTCTGCAAGTGCTTTCATTCCCGAAGGAAAAGTCGTTGGGTGCGACTTCAAATTCCCCTGTACACAAAGACAGACGGGGTTTTCATGAGAAGCTTCACTCCGTTTTTAACTCACCTGCTTATCGCGCTTATAAGCAGCCCAGCAATCATCTAAACACAAGAAAATAGTACCTCAAAAAACCATGTGATTGAGATATATTACCAACAATGACGTAATTGTATCCGAGCTGATCGAGCCCGTGCCTGACCAGCGCATCAGCTGCCACAACAATAAGATAAGTCCTGTTGAAAAGAACAGAGCAAAAATAAGTGAAAGAAAGGTCTTACTGTTTCCGAAAACGATCTTCTCATTGATCTTGCACTCGTATTTGTTCCAGCCGCTCCACCTAAATGCAACAGCGAACTCTCATCAGTCCCGCGAAGAAATTGGCTTCTCAAAATGCATGAAAAAAACCCATTTTTTTCTTGACACTCACCCCATGATCGGAGTTTTTCCCAACCCGTTGTCGTAGACCAGACGTCTTGGCAGCGGTACAGCGGCTGTCACGTTCCACTTCGTTTGCATCTTGCCATTACCCGAGCTGCCCAGCAGCCGCGACTGCGTCTTCCAGGTCAATAGCACGACCCCCAAAATCACACCACAGTTCCTCCACATCACAAAGTTCCGCCGGAGAGTCCCACCAATCCAATCTAGCAAGCTCCACGGCACCAGATGCTTGGAGATCCACTGCAGCCTCTTCACCCCTATCCGTTTCACCAAGAAACTCCTGCTCGAATCCAAAGCTCTGTCGATCCAACCCAGAACCAATCCTGCTACCAGCACAACGATGCTCCTCATCGCTGGGCTACAGCTTCTAAGCCAAGAACGCGAGTCTCCTCCTCTTCCTTTGTAGAGCCCACTCACAACTTAAAAGCTCCGAAGGAAGTCTTGGGCGAATGTGACGACCGATTGTGGTGGTCGGGCGAGACGAGGAAGAACTGTTGGACACGCGGGCAACCTGGTGGAGGCCGGCTTTCATTGGTGCCCGCGGATATTCCTAGTTCCGCGTCCCTGTAAGTCAAAAGCTCGATCGTGACAAATGGGGATAAACTACGAACTTGCCACCTTTATCTCTTTTTGAATCAGTCGTCGTCCTCGTCGTTAGAGCCGCCCATCCCCGACTCGTCGACGACTTTGACATGGACTTCGTCGACTTTAGCTTTCTTAGCGGGACTTTGGAGAGGCTTCACCTTGACAAGGATGCTGGAGTGGGATGGTCGCTTTGCCAGTGTGATTCCGAAGGGAAGAATTCTCTCCATTTTTTGTGATGCTGCTGGGGAGTGGGAGCTGCCTCTTGCGATGCTTTGGCTACTGCTGCCTGCTCGAGACAAACGTTTGTTTAGCTCAAGACACAAGGCTGCTCCATAGCTATGAAACACTCTTGCTTAGTTCTAGCGCTTCTTCCTTTCTACTTGCTGGTCGTGTTCTCTTCTCACCTCCATTACTTTCCCAGAAAACTCCACGGGAGGAAAGATGTCAATCCTTTGCAAATTCAGAGTGAGGATATAAACACAAAAGAAAGAAAGAAATGTTCTTAAAATTCTTTATCCTGTTCATTCAAAGGGGAAATCTTCCTCCACAGTAGAAATTCACTGCTAAAGAATATTCTTTGTTTCTTTTTCTTTGTTTTCATTGGTAATAAAAGGACAGGTTTTTCTACTCTCTTTTTTTCCATATCTCAGATTTAAGGAAATGAAATGACCATGTTAGTCCGCCGACAACTTTGGCCGAGCCTCGCTATAAAACCAGCCATTCCACAAGGGAAGTTATCGTCAAGCAGCAGCGATGGCACTTGAATTCACCAAGTTCTTCCCAGCAGCGGTGCTTCTCATCGCGATCATCGCCTCCTTAGCTTCAGCGCAGTACAATTTGCCCAGCGTTCCAGCCCTGTTCATCCTCGGAGACGGCACCGTCGATGCTGGAACCAACACGTATGTGAACTCTACGTACCAAGCCAGCGTTTCTCCATACGGCGAGACGTTCTTCGGCCACGCTGCTGGACGTTTTACCAATGGCCGGACGCTGGCGGATTTCCTGGCGCAGTCCCTCGGCCTCCCTCTCGTCCCGCCTTTCGTCCAGCCGCTGGGAGATCACAGGCACGGCGCGAACTTTGCCTCAGCTGGGAGTGGCCGGCTCGATTCAACCGGTGCTTCCAGAGGAGTCGTGAGCTTCAAGAAGCAGCTCCAGCAGCTGTCAAGTGTGATGGCGGTTTTCAAGTGGAGAGGCAAGAGCAACGCCGAGACGATGCTGAGCGAGTCCGTGTTCGTCATTTCCACTGGTGCCGATGATATTGCCAACTACATTGCACAGCCATCGATGAAGATTCCCGAGCAGCAGTTTGTCCAGAGCTTGATAGCCACCTACAAGTCAGGCATCGAGGTAAATGTCAAGTTTCTGGAGGTTTCTTTCCTCAAACCGTTTGGTGCTTTGCAGACGCTGTATAACCATGGAGCACGAAAGATAGTGGTGGTGGAACTTGGACCCGTGGGTTGCTTCCCGCAGTCAAAGCTAGCCGCATCTCGTTCGAGCCAGGGATTCAGGCGTTTCGACTGCTTGGAGGCAGCAAACACCTTGGCCAAGGACGTGAACACCGGACTTGACGATCTCGCCAAGACCCTGTCATCGCAACTCACGGGAATTCAGCTGATTGTTCTCAAGCCGTATGATCTCTTGATGAGCACAATACGCGTACCTAGAGCTTCTGGTAAGCGGTCTCGTTTCATGGTAGAAAATTCTTCTGACACTCGATTCGTTGGAACTTGAGTAGGATTCGTGAACAGTGTGGATGCGTGCTGTGGAGCTGGCCCTTTCAACGCTGCCGAGTCTTGCGCCGATTCCTACACACAGAGGACGTCTGAGTACCAGCCCTTTTTGTGTCCAAACCCGGCAACTTACATGTTTTTCGATGCTGCTCACTTCAGCGAGGCCGCCTACTTGATGATGTTTAAGAACTTTTGGCACGGAGACCAGAGCATCGCTACCCCGTTCAACCTCAAGGACTTGTTTGCAGGCAATGCTGTTCCATTCCCACCTCTGCCACCAAGATTTACTTAGGCTGAGAGTTCAGTGAATCGAGTTCTTCACTTATCCTCTTCATTTTCGTTTCTTTGAAGCGAGCTTCTCAATCGTATCTCCATTGAAAAATAATGCTAAACTCCCGCTCAAGGCTTCCTAGGAAACCCTAAAATGCCGTTAAACCCCTCTTTTTTCCCTTCCAATCCAAATAAATATATGCTCTCTGTTTTTAGGTTTAGGGCAAAAGCTATGGAGCAACAACAGCAGCCAGTGCGCTTGATGCAGTTCATCTCCGAGAGTAAGGTGGGATGCATCAAATCTCGAGCCATGGCTCCCTCCATCACTCTATGCATTCTCTATCCAGTTGGAAGAGCTCAAATCTTCGCGTGGAGCCACAATTCAGGATGGAACGCTGGCGCCTGAGAGGCCATTGCACGAGGTTTGGCGTGTGCTTTTATCTTATATTTCCTTCTCCCTTGTCCTTCTAGATTCTCAGGGAGAACAAGCAAAAGCAGGATAAAGAGTTCAAAGAACGCTTCAAGCACCGTGAGAGTTTTTTTTTTTTTTTTTTTCTGTGTGTTTGTGTTAACTTGGCTCACACTGAATGTGTAACAGAACCACCGAAAGCGTTGGATCCAGAGGAGATGGAGTTTCTGGAAGGGATTGACAAGGTTCTTCCTTCTTTTCTTTTCGCCCTTGGATTTTTTCGTTTTCTCGACTTACTGAGAAAGTAATGTAGGTGAAAAGAGAACACGACCGGCAAGTAGCAAAGGAAGAAGCGCTAGAACTAAGCAACTTTGACGTGAGTGAGCTTGGGTTTTATAGGCTTTCTTTCTTGAGCTAAAGTCGCGAGCAGGCGGCGGTA